GGCGACGGCTTCGCTATTCGAAAATGTACTTTTAAAAATAGAAACTATATTTGCCAAACAACTCGACATTACGAACTGAAAAGAGGAAGATAATTACTCGCTTTTCGTGTGACATGCTGGATTGAATAGAAGCATCGCGCAGTCACGATACGTGATACCCTTCGACTAAAAGGGATCCCAACACAAAAGAAACAGTTTGACAAATTTATGTCGCNACTTGTAGATACCATTATATATATATATATAGACACACACATAAACATACACACATCTACACACCCATCCTATCCTATCTAATGCATTGTATTCAACTTAAAAATAAATTCAGCTGCATCAATGTTATCTAATTAAAATGAATATCCACAAAAAAGTTATAAATTATTATTTTTTTATAATAATATTGATAAAAACATTTTTAAAACTCTAAAATTTGTTTTTTACATATAATAACATTTATTATAAACTGTATAAGTTCATATTGTGGCTATAGCTCTTATAATAATTTAATTATTTGAATTTTTAACAAGTATTTTTAAATTTTCGACTTTCTTAAAACTTAACATTTTACATTTCAAAATAGATTGTAATTTAAAATTATATTTAAATATAAAATCCAATTAAAAAGTTTAACAGAAATTTTAATAAAATATTTACAACTGTTTCAAATTTTATTATAATAATCCATTATAACCCAACTCCTATTTTAACTAAATATAAAAAAAACACCTTATTACTGGAGTATTTAAATTTCTTTATTAAACATTTTTCGGTTTTCTATTTATGATCCTTCAGGTAAATTCCGAATTCGAACACAATTTACCTGACGAGGGCTAATAAATAGAGCCGAAAAACGTTTAGTAAAGAAATTTAAATACCATAGTAATAAGGTGTTTTTTTAATATTTAGTTTTATTATAATATTTGAAAACATTACACGATGAGTTTTTCTATAAACTTTTATCAAAACATTTAAATTGAAATTAATTATATAAATTTCATATAATTATATTTTAAAATTAAAATTAAATATTAAATTAAGCTTATTTGTCGTTCACAAGTTATTAACTGTCGCCATTTAAACTAATTAAACATATCTTAATTACTTAACATTATAATTCCTTGTATTTAATTAATAAAAAAAACAAGGGGAAGAGAAATTTTAGCTTCAATTATTTATCATTAATATATTGCTAAAGGTCTAATAAAAATGATATATATTTATATATATAGCCCCAATATATATAACAGCAGGCTAATAAAATATTAGGCTTTAACGTTATGTTCTGTGATATATATTATACCCAATCTCGACTTTTTGTCAAGAAAACAATAAAAAGACTTTTATTCTCACTTTCTTTTATTAACTGTAAACAATATAGATCTTAGAATTATTTCAGGCAATTTGAGAAATCCAAAATTATATTTATTTATAACATTTTTATAACCTTAAGTAAAAATTTATATTTATTAACCCGATAAAATAACCTTTGTTGTTATATTTATTAGTTCAACTTACTATACGTAAGGTGAAGAAGGGCGAATGATCAATATTTAAGTAATGTCGATGGCTTCATATAGAATACAATAGATTCGTGTTTAGTCGGTTCTTAAGAAAAGCCGTTCAGATAAATAAAAGTATAATTTTTCAATTCTACTGCGATATGGATCTACAAACAGTCATACGTGTATTCTAAATAAATTTCCTTCTTATCGAATAAATAATTTGCACTTAAGTGAATAAAAACTTTGCTATCTAAATACACCTTTATATTCGTCGAGTATACGTATCAAATCGAAAAAATGTAATCAAAAATATTGAATTTTCTTTACATAAAACGGCTTACGAGACCCTTATAGTAAATTTGTATTTATTGAAGATTTTCGGCCATTACTAAATTAAAGATATAAAAGTTCAAACTGTAGAGATGCATTGTTAAACTCAAACAATCGTAAATTCGATAGCAAAGAACCCCAGGGATTATTCCTTACCTTGTTTTGATTGCCATTCCCAACGAAGAGCCAATAGTTGATAGTAAATCTTCAAAATCTATTGAATTATGCAAGACGTTACCTTACTCGAAAATATTTTGTTGGATAAAAAAAAAAGAAAAAATAGTGAGATTTTATACGGTTATCGAATTGTCTTGTTTATCCTTAACTCGAAACTAATCCCACACGCATTAATCATATCGGTTATTGATGATGAGCCTTGTATCTTTTTGTATCGGTAATTTCTAAAGTTTCGTTAGCTGAAAGTAAGTAAATTTATGTTGTAAAAGAAGAATTTATGTAAGATACATCGATTAAAAACGCATCTGCTGCAGATAGTGTCAAGCAGAGGATAACCGAAACATTGCTTGCTGCTTTGGAACGTTGCTTGCTGAACCATAACGTCTGAGATTGATGATTCTCCTTCTAATTTTTTTTTTTTTTTTTACCATTTCTTCGTGAAGCGAGAAAAATGTCTAGTTTCGTTTCTCTCATTTCCGACAGCATTTCTTTCCTCCAGTTACAAACGAACAAATATGTCTGATATAGAATAATTAGTCATCATTTATCATCATTGGATTCTCTAGAAAACAGAGAAGATAGTCAATTTTCACAGTTTTTTAAGAGATCTTTCTATTAATATGTCATTCGTTTGCATCAAATTTTTACAAATATTTTGCCAAAGTAGTTAATAACAGAACCAAATTGAAAAGAACTTTTACAATGTTGATATAAGAGTTTCATAATAAGGAAGATTGTTAACTATAAAAAACAATCTATTAAAATGTCTCATATTTAAATTATTAAACTGAAAATCAAACAGATTCTATATTTAATTTAAATATAGATCTTAATTATGCATAAAAAATTCGAGGGAAAAAATTGTAAAATATTAGAACCACGAAAAAGATGATCATTTGGAAATACACCAAAATTATTAATAAAATACTCCATAACAATATCATATAATTTATGCAAGAATTTAGGATAAACAATTTATTCAAGAAATAACAACGGAAATTTTTGGATAAATTCCAAAATATTCTTAAATAAAAGGAAAAAATATATATAATAATAAATACCGAAAAAAATCAGTAAAAATGCATTACTTCATTTAAAAATTATCAAAATCGTATAAAAATAATATAAAATAATCATTTTTTCATTTTCTAAAAGTAAAATTTTTACTAGAAAAAATATTTTGTTTGCTTATGAAATTCATTTATAATAAATTTGATTATTTATTAATGCTAGAGAAAAAGAAAATTGTTTTAAACAGAGTAAATGATTATAAATTGTTGTTTTTGTTTATATTTAAAAGGTGGAAAAAAATGTTTGATTAAAAGTAGTTGTTTGTAATATCAAAAAACTTGGTTTTATTTACAAAAAATTAAAATTTTGATATTTTATACTTTATATAGGATAATTGTATAATTAATAAGTTATGGAAAAACATTTAAAAATTTATCAAAACAAAAATTTTCTTTTAAAAGATTAGTAATGTTTCAAAGGAATAAATATCGAAGTTTGTTATTAAAACTTTAAATTAAAAATTAGTTTGTTAAATTATCATTTTAAAGTAAATTACTTCTATGTTTAGAAGTAAATTGTTACAAAATTAATAAACTAATTAAAAATGACAACAAAAAATATATATAAAAAATTTCATCTGAAGTTGACAACTTAACTCTAAGGCAATGAAAAATGAAAGTCGATAAATACAGTTTCCATTCCTATGGGATAAATTCATGTTTGAGACTGTAAAATTTTGTTTTTCTACCGGCTATTTAAGTAGAATATTTATCAAGAGAGAGAGTTGTCTTCCTAAAATATTACTTGGAATATTTATTAGAAAATATTTTAAGATTAAATTCTATTGTAGAAATATCAGATTTTCTGTATAGTTTGTTTAATTATTAAAGATGGTAAATTACTTAACATCAATGCAATATAGTAATCATAAAAGTATACGGCCGTTTAATAAATTTATAACATCGAATATGTAAATGATTACATGATTTCGGGTGATATCAAGTGATGCATCAATATTATATGAATTTGAGTCCATAATATATAAATTGCATCAATCAATCTCTCAGGTTATTATGTTGTCGTCATTTATGCCAATATATAAACACATCCCTTCAACGTTTCTGAAGATGCAATAATACAGCTATTAACATTTAAGACTTTGATCTTTCTATATAGTAAATGAATGATACCCAAATTTGTTAATTTTAATATCATCCATTTACTAAAATGGATTTTCTGTGTTATGTTTATAGTTTTCTCTTTGATGTTAAACATCACTAAATTTCACTTAATGATAATTAATTGTTTCATTATTAAAATTGCAGCAATAATTGTAATATAATGATAAGCGCAAGTAATTGCTTTGACCACCAAATCTTTAATTGAATAAAATTACTTATAAAAGTATTTATAAATACAGTTTAATGTGAAAATAGTATTCAAGATATGAGTATTTTATTGCGATAATTACAAATTGTGTCTTATTTTATACTAAACAGGATTAAATCTGCCTTCAGGAAGTTACATAAATGTTGTCTGGCATACAGTTTAGAAGACGTATAACTTTATTAAAATATAATAAAAATGGGCACCAATACAAGAATTCAGCAATAGGTTAAATAATGCACACGATGATAATTTCTTCTTCATAGTAAATAATTTTTCGTCACACTAAATAATTCACAATGGTGATAAATCCTATTCGTGTAAGAGTCCTCTCCTTGTTAAATTATGAACGTAAAGATAAACCATCGACATTAATATAAAAAAAAGTACAAACCTTTTGTTTATTTCTTTATTTTTATTTAATGTATTCCTTTCAGTTTTATATTAGATTTTTACTAGATTAATAAATAATATGAAGGCGCATACATATATATAATTTATATATAGACAATTTGAAGTAAAATACTATAATGAAAGTTTTTTTCCCTAAATTTTATACTAAAAGCATTTTAATAATAATATTTTTATTTTTAGGAAGAGAACACGTTGTTTCGGGATTCGTTGGTGCCACCGCCCTTCTACCTTGTGATGTAGATCTTTTATCCTGTGGACGCGTTTATTTCATTACGTGGACCAAGAATGTGTCTCATGAATGGAAGAGGGAATATCTGTACAGCGATGGAGTTAAAAGAGCAATGGGAGACTTTGCCAGTCCAGACAGAGCAACATTTCACTTGTCCAACACTTCGGCGCATCTTCTTCTTGATTCCCTCAGCGTCAGTGACGAAGGGACATATAAATGTGACGTCACATACGTGCAGGGAAAATGTCCGTCTCTTTCTTTTATAAAACTGCATACTCTCGGTGAGTAATATATACATATATATATTTATTTATTTATTTTAAATTATTTTAAAAATTAACTTTTTTAAAGTTTCGATTTTTATAAATCAGAAAAATAGTGATTCGATGGAAAAACTTTATTCTACAGTAATTTCGGAAGAGAGCGAATAACTATAACAACATATAAAATTTATTTCTCGAGAATCGTATTTCATGGTTTCAGTCGATTTTTTTTTTTCCTTCTTCTTCTTCTTTTTCTTTCTCGCGTTGTAATGGAAGATTCCGGGATGCTGTAAAAATTTTGTCGCCGATATTTTATTGATTCAGTCAGTTGTGTTCGGCGGATAAGTCATAACTAGCCAACTTTTATGTAAGCTTAGGATATCGTTAGCTTGGATCCTACGTTATAAGGTCATCTGTCAGGGATTGTCAGGATGTTCTTACAATAACTTACTACGCTGTGTTAAAAGTTCACTTCAAATTCCATTTTCAGCTTCAACGTTTTCTACTGAAATGTTTTTGTCGATACTAAAACTATAGTTTTATTTTAAGGAAACGTTTTAAAATTTATTAATTGTAAAAAATGAAATGACAAAATAAAAATTTTTAATTCTTTTCGTTTGATATAAATTCTTGAAACAAAGTAATACAGAAAATTTAAAGGAATGATTGATGATAAGAAGACAATCTCGAAAGTTCTAGAAAAATAAAAAAAAAAAACTATATAAATATATATTATTTATTGTTATCAATTTTTTATTTTTATTTTTTTTGAGTATCTTGGAAAATCTATCGATTGAAAGAATGCTTAAACAAAGTATAAGAGATTAAAATAAATTTATTATAATTTATTTTTATTAAAGAATTATTTATAATAAATAAATTATATATATATGTATNAAATAATTAGTTAAATATATGGCAAATTGACTATTGACTTAGTAGGTCACAACGGGCATTTAATAGGCCTACCCATTACTTCCTATTCCTAATATATTGCATATATATATGTATATTTTTTTTTTCCAAATTTTTTATAACTATATCTGGAAAGAAAATCTTTCTCCATTTTCTGACTGAATCTATAGTATCAAGAACATGGTCTCAGGGTCAGGATTGCGAATCTTTTATTCTATAAGAGTCAAATTTATATTTTATATATATAAAAAATATCGAAATTCTTTTATAAATCTATCTAGAATATATATTTTGTATATAACATAATAGAATTTTGTTTATTTTTCATTTTTATAAACATATCATAAAAATCTACTCTATAAATGTTTTATTATCTTCAGCTTTTAAATATCCATAATATATCATATTAATTATATATAAAATCAACAAGATGTGTAATTCTGTGATGATATAAGGTGTTTATAATTAAAATAAAGTAAAAATATATTTAAAAAATTATTTTTTATGATTTTAATCTATAATCGTTTCGTATACCTCCCGCACTCATTTAACTGTTATTAAAGCAACCCTTCTTAAAATATGTTCTAAAGAAGCGAGGTATATTGGGAAGTTTATTAAGTAACCGTGACAATCTTCTAGCTTTTAACAGTATATAAACATTTACAGTTAATGAATGTCTTCCACAAAATCTCAGATTATTAGTCATCAAAGTCTTATCTCATTACAGCATTAATGTATAAAAAGCTTTACTTTACAGCGTTACATGTTCGTCGATAAATTATGAACTTCATTTTTGTCCTCTAAATATTATTAAGCTGGAAAGCTCATATTAAATAGGCAAGTTCATAATAATGAACGTAGATCTTGACGTCATAACGTTTCTATTTTTGTATTCGAATGTGGAAAATGCTAAAAAAATTCAGAAGATCTTCATTTTTTTAGAAAAATAATAGTTTTTAAATTGAAAAGTTTGGTTCCCATTAAATTACATAAGAATTCAATATTAATAAAAACATGTTTAAAATGCGGCAATTATTTTATAAAAGAATCTTTTATGTGCTTATATTAATATGAAGATTCTGTAGTTTTGTTGGGTTTATTCATTCATTTCGTATTAAGAATTCTATTTCCCCAGGAAATTATTTTAAAATATATTTTAAAGTTTTCTTTGATGATATAGAAATGCATTCATTTTGGTAAATTAAGAAATCCTTTACAACGGCGAAACATTAACATTATCAAACACGAAAATGAGGGCAAATAGTTGTTTTAACTAAAAAGACTCCTTGTTTAGTTTCCTTCATGAATAGAATGAAAGACTTCCGTACTCTTGCTACTAGTTCCTCCTTTAAAAGCTACATAAAGATGTCATTGATGTTTTCAAATCATTAAACTATAATTTATGTCCGATAGAAATAATTACGAAGTAAATTCTCATGGGTTTCTTATATTTATCTCGATCTTTGTAACGATTGTAAGACGTTCTAAGATTCGGAAAGTAAGTTTCTTTTAAATTTAAATGCGAATTCTGTATCTGTTATTTTAAATAGTTTCCTGCTAGACAAGAAAAAATCTATTTTCTGTTTTGAAAATCAAAATGAAAACCAAATTGATACACCGCTGTTTCATGTCGACAATTTTGAATTAGACTTGCATCGTCTTCATATCTAGCATCTTACATTCAAATACTTGCCATTTTGCTATTGAAACATGTAAAATGTTTTTAAGAATAACCATCTGCTATAATAGTTACGTACTAGGTTTGGCTATTGTGGATTTGAAGTTACCTCGAGGTAAAGAACTGTTCATACAGAGAGTGATGGGTGTTTGCAGTGACCGAGAATGACGAGTTCCATGCTTTCATCCCGATTGTATAGAAAATCTGGAAAATATAGAAAGGCAAAAACTTTTTTATTATTTTTAGAAGAAAATATACTTTGAATTTCTGAAAGAGAAGTTGATAAGAATGTTACTTTAAAACATTTCTTTGAAAAATGTTAACGTATTCTTTATCCATACAAAAATTACATTTATACGCAAATCTAATTTTTCTTTCAGGAATGATTTATTACTAATGAAAATTCTCCAGTTATAAAAATATGAATAATATAACACAATAAAGAATCGTAAATGAAGATTAACATCAAAATTTTCTTACTTTTTTTTATTGAAAAATTATACGATTAAAGTAAATTTATACATAGCTAGACATCAGAAAAATGATTAATATGTCATCCCTTTGAGATTGTTTGGATAAGAAAAATAATATTTTACATTTCCTATCGCTTCATCTCTCTTAATATATTTATTTATTTATTTCTATTTAATATGATGTATCATTAGACTTCATAGTTGTCAAGATGGGATAGTAAAGAGCCACTCGCTCTCATTGCTTGTAATAATCCATATGAAAGCTTCAGTTACAGTAAATGTTGCATTAGAAAACAATTTGTTTGCATATGTATAACCGACAAAGGTCATAAAATTGCAATTACTAATATAAATGTCCCCTAAATAAATACATTTAGCTAGAATCGATCAGCTAACAGTTTTGGGACGGATATTACGATAAAATCTAGTAAGAAACTCTTTCCTGAGTAATCTATATTTGGAATGATTAACCTAAATCAAAAACATATTCTTCCTCTCACTTACACATCTATAGATTTTTCCACAAATTAAAATAATCTTTTCTACATTGAAAAATTATTTATGACAAAATATTTAATTATATTTTATACATATATAAATTTTCGGATAATTTGAAAATAAATAAAAAATAAAAATAAACGAATCTAACTTGAAACTTTGATCATTTCATTTCTCTTGAGAGATGACAATAGGTACTTCCCCAGATCTCAATTTAAATTGAAGATCGATTATTTTTCTTTTTTATTATTTTAATTTTCCGGGTTTTTTTTTCCTTTTTAAATATAAAAAAAAAACTTTCATAAAAATTATTCTATAATTAAAAATTGAAGTGTTGTAAAATCATCATCTTAATTTCGATGAATTTAATGCTGATTTTTTTTTTTAATTCACATCTTTAACTTATATTTAATCAAGTTAGATTATTTACGTTACTAATAGAAAATTTTTTTAAATTTTCTATCAAACTTAAACAAACACTTCAGGTTTCTTTTTAAAAACATAATTAATTCAATATATAAAGATTCTTTACTTTCATTCTCGATATTTTCACCCTCGCTTTCTCGATACTTTTTATATAAAAATATAATTATATATAATAAATTTAGAATGTGTGCATGTATATATATCATCCCTATTAATAAAAAGAAAAAAATATATATATAATTGTATTAACAGATTCATTTAGGAAATAATTTAATTTTTGCGAAAAGACTTAATATTTTTATTGATAAAATGAAGCAAATTTTATAAAATAAGTAGTTATTTTATTATGAAATTAAGACAAATATCGAAAGCTTCATTTTTAAACAGTTTTTTAAATATTTTTGAGTAAAATTTAAGAATTTTTAAAATTATTTTTATGTAAATTAAATTACAATTTTTATTCTTTTATACTTATTTTTCCTCATTCATCTATATAAATAATTATTTAAAATTACAGAAAATATATAAAATTAAGACGTAAAAGTGGGGGAAAATATTAAAAATATTTAGCTAAAAAAATCAAGATTTTCTTACGTTTAAAACTTTTTAATAATAAATTAAATAGACATTTAATATTGTTATTTTTTCATTTTAAACTGCTTAAACTTTACTATTATTTATAGAAGAATAAAGATTTCGTTAAGGAAAAATTTAAGTGTATTTAAATTAATATTTTGTCTATATAAAATTAACAAAAATAAATATAAATGAATAAATTATCGATTGGTAAATAGATAATTGCTTAATCAATACATTAAATTTTAAGATAAAAAAACGTTTAATAATAAAATTGATATTTATATATTCTGTAATAATAATATAAATAAAACTTTTATATATTTTTTAATGCAAACTTAAAAAATAAAAAAATTCTTCACTAAGATAAAAAGTAGAATATATATAAGATTCTTCACTACTTCAATTCACGTCTTTCCATCTTTCATGAAACCTTCTCTATTCATCACTCC